TACAGATACTTTATTTCCATCTTTTCATTATCTCACATTTTTTTCTTTTCCCTTATTACCTTTCCCCTACTCAGCCCACCTTCCCTACACCTTTAGCTCCTTTCTTCAGCATGGTTTTTATTCAGCAGGCTGAGTGAAAAATAGACCCGCCAGCTGCCAACCCGCACCCTTCAGAGCACTCCTGCAGGCGGAGCGGTGCTGACCACCCCTCCTTACTACCTGGACTTCAATTACCAGCAGGGCCAGGGCCAGGTGCACCTAGGGGTGGGCCTGAGGGTCCTAGCATCTGAGGGTCAAAGACCCCTGGGCCTCCCTTGCCGTTGCTGTGCCGGTCCTGTGCTTCCTTCACCCTCCTGGGACGTGTGTGATGACACGCGGTCTAGACACCATTTGTTTTCACATTCACCGCACACCGGTTGGAAAGTTCGCTGCTGTGTGGTCATTTACATAGAGATGCTTTGCTACCGAGTCCTACCCTCTTGGCAACAGGTGAGCGTTTGGATCCCAGGCCTTAAGCATTTGAGAACAGTCTATTTTAATTTCTGGTTGTTATTTTTGATGTGGTTTTCATGAGAGAGAAGAGTTTCCTCCCATTCCTCCTGCTAACTAGGAGCACATTGAAGTTACTGTCTTGCAAGTTGGAGGAGCTGGAAATGTCTAGGAGAATTCCTGATAACTGCGGATTTAAAAACCCTCTGGAGTCAGGATGCAGCTGAGTTTTTTCCCTGTTTTTTTCCTTTTTTGCACACTCTGGGCGGGAAGAGCCAGTCTGGCTCTCATTGTCACGAACAGTACCTCTGATGGGCCTGGGCTCCTCCTGTTCAAGATTGAGAGACTGCAGAGGCATTTGTGAGAAGGAGCACAGATGCACGCCGGGTCTCCACTCACGGTTTTTATCAGCTTATTAGTGGCAGCCGCTCAAATGGAATTATAGCTATTATGCTCCATTACAGATGCCAAAGAATTTGCCTCTGCTGAGATTCACACTGTTGGCTCCTCCCGCCAGCAACCCTCTTTTTATGTGGCTGCTCAAGAAATTGCCAGAGAGAGCAGTTCATTCTTTCAGTATTTGATTCAATTGCATCATCTGAAACTGAGAATAAAAGCTTTTCAGAAGAAGATTCAGGTTGCAGAAACTATAAATCATACCTTTTTGACTCAGAAGTGAGAGGATGTTGAGAAACTAGATAAAACAGGAGTTGCCTGCTCTTGTTCTCACCTCTTCTTTTATAGTTTTAAAAATGGGAGGAAGGTAGCACTAGTTAGAAGAGAGAATCTGTTGCTTTGCAAATAATTTAAAGACATTTATTTTTAAGTGAGTGGAATAAAGCTATATAAACTTGGTGTGCTTCTAATTAAGCAGTGTGAGCGCATTTTGGTGGCCTACAAAGGTCTTAGGCAAGGGAACGTAGTTATAAACCTTAGACCTATACCAGGACCAGCTGTGTAGATGACTAGGAGGGAGTGACATATATTTATCTTCTCACATGATTAAAATTAATAGTGTAGGGCTGCTGTAGCTCTGTGGTTCCTGGGTGTAACTTCTTTTTCCTTTCCTCTGAAAAGATTCGTTGTTCAGCTGCCAGAGGACAGGGGAATGAGGTATAATAGCATAGCTAAAGCTTTAATTACCGCCTGAAAACTTTTGTCCTTCACTTTGAATTTGCTTTTGTAGGCTTAAGGGGGACTTTTAAGGAGCCTGGACCAGTCTTGTAAACTTCAAAAATAACTCTGGGTTTATGTGCGGCACCACACAAGGGCACGGCTGCTTTCTCCTTTTGGTTACAGGTCCAAGAGTCACAAGCCACAGAGTTGGAAGTCATTAACGTCTGAAGGCTGTTGGTGGCCTCCAGATAGGAGAGGTGGGGTGGCGACAGTGTCCAGGGCACAGGTGCACGCACACCGGAGGCTGCCTCATCCTTCCAGAGTCCACGTCTTGGCTCTGACCCTTCAATTTCTGGGATGGGGAGGGGAGTGCTGATGAGGCCTAGGAGATGGGGGTGAGGGCAGAGTCTAGGGTGGTACAGGTTGGCCACTGAAACAAGGGGCTGCCATCTCGGTCTGTGCTGAGAGCCAGCAAGTCCGAGAGGAGATCTCCCATGGAGGCCACACTACTCCCGAGCTGGCTGCCTGGCTCTACAGGAAGACGCTGGAAGGAGCAGACATCACTTTCAAAGGCCACGTCCCAGAATTTTCCTGCCAAATTAAGTTAATTATGCCAGTACAAATTAAGTATTATGGTTCATCACAGAAAAAAAAAAATCCTTGCATTTTTGTGGTGCTTTCTTTGCAGGAAAGAAACATCCTAAAGTATCTGTGCTTGGGGTATTTTCTGACCAAGCGTCTAAGAGCTTGATCATTGCTGTGGCAGCTTCTGCCCAGAAGTCTGGGAAGTGTGGGGTTTCTGCCTTTACAGACAGGTCTTCTTTAAGCTAAGGGCAGCCTGCAGGTAGACTGGAGCCCTCTTCAACCCTCCATATCCTGCACAGCCCTTAGTGCTGCCCTCCACTTGGGAATCCACCCCCAACGTGTGTTTCACTGTTTCCTGAGTGTGTGCATCTCCGGCTTCCACATCCCCTCTTCGTGCTGTCAGTCGTGGTGTCCAAGGTTTCTCAATTTGCCTTTGCTCCTTTGTGGGTAAGGAAAACACACTGGGGCTTAGCCTGGGAAGTAATGGTGGGGAGAGGCAGCCTGGTGGGCTGGTGTGGAGGGGTTGCCGCCCCGCTGGGTATTGCTTGGGAGCCAAGATCTTGAGTTGGGCCGTGGATTGGAGGGAAGGGGCTCCATGTCTACCAGGCATTTTGTGGTTTGGAGGCACAGTTTGAACTGGAAGAATACCAGTTATGAAAACAAAAGCCTGTGTTTTCTTAACATTGCTTGGTAGAAGATCCAGAATATTTTCACCTAAACTTATTTCAGACTTGGCAAATGTTTTCTTTCCAGGTGTGTTTGCTTGGAGATTAAAAGAGCTGATGGACGACTCTCTCCAAACACGGGTCATATCATCTTAAGTGTCAGTCATACATGAAGACGGGAGATCTGCTTTGATCTCAGCTGCTGAAGTCATCACACTGCACTGCTAATAGAGACTCAGCGATGATGTAAAAACTCTGAAGTGTTGGTATCTAGATAAAGCAATTCAATGGAAAGTCCAGTTACTAGGTAAGAATGAATCTAAAGTACAGCAGTACCTCAGTTCATGAACGCTTCTGTTTGCAGACAACTTGGTACAAAGTCAGAAGCATTTGGCAGAGTTTTGCTTCTGCCCCCCGTCTCCGCACTGGTGATGAACACAGCCGTGGCCTCCTCCCTGCATAGAGGAGCGTAGCTTCTTCTCCAGAATCCCGGAGCAAATGATGTTCCTGAGCCAGGCACTGCTGTATTCATGCTTTTAAAGTTTATAGTGCGGGGGGGGTATATATATTTCAATGTAGTTACCCACAAATCATTCTGAAACTAATAAGGATATTTTCAGATTAACTAGACAAAACCAAAAAAGTGTACAGCAATCAATTGTAAAAAAAATACTCAATTGTTTAAGGCCAACAAACAATGCATAATCCCTCCACTTTGGGAATGGAAAAGCAGAAAGAAATCTGAAGTTTTACGACTGCTGGGAGGTGGGGTGAGGTGAAAATATTGAATCCTTTATTTTTAATTATTTTGGATGAAACAGATGACAAAAGAAAAGCAACTCATGGGAAAACAAAACCATAGCTGCTTCTTAGCTGTGACTGAAAGTTCGGTGATGGCTTTCACAGAATCACACTTTGGCTGGTGGCCCTCAGGCCGGCATGGGGCGGTTGAGAGGGACCCAGACCTGTCTGTGGGTGGAGGACTTGCTCCCCTTCACCCTTTCTCTGGTGCACAGTGGAGGAGGGTGGCCTGGTGGCCAGAAGGAGGAGAAAGTTTGGGGTTGTCACTTCCTGCTGGAAACCGTTTTTACAAATGCAGGCAGCCTAATCACTCCTCAGTTCCTCGGGAAGAGCCGGCCTGGAAGAACTGTGTGACGTGACTCACTCCATGGCTCTGTGGTCACCCTCCCACTTCGCCTCACAGCCTTGGGGACACTGACTTCTGTAGGATGTGGCCAGAGAAGAGTCATCAATGATTTTGCCCTTTACAGATTCACAATAGGTTGCAAGGAACAAACAGTAGTTTCTAATGAGTTCCCTGGACTCGGGGGCAGGATGAAGGCATGTTCTACCATCTGTGTCCTATTTGCTTGAGCAGGGTAATGATGAGGTTGAAAAACCACTTAAATGTTAACTCCTACCTCCCTTCCCTCTGATCTCCCCTCCTTTTCTCTGTACATCACTCTTTCTAAGATTTCCTGAGAGCTGACCTGTCTCATGCATCATTTCAGCCCCAGGTGTCAATTTAATTTGGAAATTTTGAGCTACGTCACCTGAGGTATTCTTGAGTTAGGGAAGCTGGGGAACAGAGGGACCTTTGGCTGGGCTCATCTTTCTATAGGATGGCTAATGACGAGAGGGAGGAGTACAGGACCCTCGGGGGCTGGCGGAAGGGTAATTGAGTTCATTCTTCTCCCTGTGACCTCAGAAACCCCTCTATGATGTTGCCTCGGTTTTACTCAATAGCGGATTGGATTTGGGATATAGATTTGGACTTCAGCTGAGTTCCTTCAAGTACCAGAAACAGGAAATCTGAGGGGCTCCCAAGAGAAGCCCTGAGGCCCCGGCTGTGTTTTAATGTGAACTGACAGCCGAGGGTTGGTTCCCAAGGAAATTTTGGCCCAACGCTGGCTTTATTTTCTGATCCAAGAAAGAGTTAAAGTTCATCACGGAGGAAAATATGTTTCACACAAAAATGAAGAATTTGGAATTGTCCAGACCAGAATAATGACTTTGTCTTCAAAACAATTATGGACAACTGCATTAACACTCCAATTAGCAAGTACACGAAGTTCTTCCTTCCATCAGAGCTCACCCAGATGTTCCTGAGGGTGGGGGTACTTGGGAACCTGAGGTCTGGACACAGCATTCCCCCTCCCGTGCCCTTTTGCTCTGCTGGCAGCTACTGTACCTCATGATTTAAACATGGACATTTCTAATTAAATGAGAGCTCAGCTGTACTCTTGAACTAATTTATAACATTTGATTTGAAATGTAATAGCTTCAATCTTCATCTGATTAAAAACAGTCATATACTGTACATGGTTACTATTTTGTTGCTCCAACATGCAGTTTTTATTTTTACATTCTCCTTTCTACACAGCTGTTCATCTGATACATCCAAATTTTTAAGTCTTTGTGTGTGTGTGCATGCTGAGAAATTCTGAGGTGGAAGGAAAGGATGTTATTCCTGAAGTGACCCCTTTTTAGGGAAATCAACTTCTAGAGAACTTTGTTAACTTTTTTGGAGACAAAAGGTAATGCAAGACATTCTGGTGACTTAAAAACAGTGAATATTGATATGCACAGTTCAGATATGCAGAAATTCTGCAGTTTTTGGGTATCAGCTGTAAGTTACTTATACCTTAAGGAAGGAGTTCTTAAAGTGGGTCCAAAACTGGTGTTCAGGGGATTTATGTCAACATTACGTGTACATGCCAAGCCTATGCATTTGTGTGTGCAGAATAGTACCACACATAATTTATGTATATTTTCTCTGGAGAACCTCTAGAATAAAGAGAGAAATGATGCAGATGTGAGAGCTTTCTGACCTCAAGAACAGGGAGGAATTCTTGAGGTTGTAGAGTAGGATGGGGAGAGAGCTTGCGGTCCTCAGAGCCCTGATTACGAAGCTTTGGCTGCTGGGCTGAGGAGTTCCAACCTTATCCGAAGGCAGTGGGAACCATCAAGAAAGTGGTGTTGCTGGCTTTGAACACAGGACAATCCTCTTGCCTGTGTGGAAGAGGACAGATGTGGGAGAGCAGACAGATGTAGGGAACTCACTACAGAAGCTGATTGGGAGAGTTAAGAGACTCCCCGGTGTGCTGGGTGGGGCACCAAGAGGGCGTTATCTTGTCGCCCTTACAGATCCTGAGGGGCAGGACTGGGAGAGCAGGAATCCATCTTCACATGTTGTCATCTGACTGTTGGTTTAAAACTTAGAGCTCAGAAGACGCATGAAACAGTCTGTGTTTATGTAGGGCATTTAGATTTTCTCTATACTTTAGACTTTGGCTTTCATTTTCTGTAAAAAATCACATTTGATAGTTTAGGTCATATCTCATTTTTATTTCCAGTATGTCTGAACATTTTTCTTTCCCCCTTCCTCTTCTTTTTTCTTCTTTCCCTTTCTTTCCTGCTTTTTTATTTTTCTTCAAATCAAACTAATGCATCTGTCTAAAAGTCAAATGTTCTATAGGATTTATTCCAAAAATTCTTTACTACCTCCTTGTCCTTCCCAATCCATACATACACTTCAATTTCCTTCTCACAGAGCCAAGTACATTCAACTCTAACTTTATTATTTAACTATAGATATCTAAATGTCATCCTTACATTGGTTTTTCATACCTCTTGTTTTTTTCAGTTTTAGGCATTGTCTATTAAATTCTTGGTGCAAAAGATGAAAATTTAACTTCCTCTCTCACCCCACCCCTATTACACACACACACACACACACACATGCACACACACACACACATGCACACACACACACACATGCACACACACACACACATGCACACACACACACACATGCACACACACACACACATGCACACACACACACACATGCACACACACACACACATGCACACACACACACACATGCACACACACACACACATGCACACACACACACACATGCACACACACACACACATGCACACACACACACACATGCACACACACACACACATGCACACACACACACACATGCACACACACACACACATGCACACACACACACACATGCACACACACACACACATGCACACACACACACACATGCACACACACACACACACACATGCGTGCATGCACTGTCCATCTCCCTCCTCTCAATATATTTATACCAAAATTTAATGTTTAGTGGTTATAGTACTATAATTATATAAATATTATTCATAGCAAGTCATTTAGAATGTTATTTTTTACCTTTTCTGCATAACTTTTTGTTGAAATTGATTATTATCTTTTTGATTACTTGTTCTACTGGTGTTTTACATATACTGGTAGACTACATAACAATGCTTCAGCCAACATTGGATTGCATATACGATGCTATATACATCACGTAGCCTAGATGTGCAATATATTATACCATCTCTAGGCTTGTAAAAGAATGTTCTACCCTGTTTACAATGACAGAATCTTCCGATGATGCATGTTTTAGAATGTATCCCTGATGCTAAGCCATGCATGACTATCCTCCTCATTGGTTTAACCCCAAATTCCTTCATCAATAATGACATTTCTCCATGCATTTAGATAAAACAATACATGCATTGGGTGTTCCATTAATTTCATCTTCTTAAAGAGATACTTTCTAGAACTCTCTGACCTGCTCTAGTTAGGACCAACTGCACTCTGTATGTTGGGGTAATGTCATCATGGGATCTCCTTTTGTCATCTTGAGTGTTCCCTTCCACTCCCTCCATGTCAGATTCCCTTGTTCCCAAGCCCAGATAACTCTCTAAGACTGTCTCTGTCTTTCTCTTCTGTCTTAATTGATGCCCTTGTTATGGTGGAATATATCTTTATTTGTTTTCTATAATAAACTATAATGTACAGTTTTGAGACCTTGCATTTCTTAAGATTTCATTACTTTGTCTTTACACTTAATTGTTAGTTTAGCTAGGTATAGAATTCTGGATTAGAAATAACTTTCCTTTGTTTTGGAGTCCTTGTATCATTGAGTTCTTTTGTCCATACTGCTATTGAGACTTGTGAAGCATCTTTGATTTCTGATCTTTTGGATGTGACCTGATATTTCTCTCTAGAAGCCTATGAGATTGTCACTTTGTTTCCAGTGTTCTGACATTTCTGTGAGGTGAGATTTCTGTGACATATCTCTATATAAAATCTCTTTTCATTCATTATGCTGGGTATTTATTGGACTCTGAAATCCTTGAGACTCTTGTACTTCAGTGCTGGAAAATTCTCTTGAATTAATCCATTGATGATTTCTTTCATTTTCTCAGTTCTTTCTGGAAACTATTATTTGGATATTAGAACTCTTATACTCTA